TCCACTGCGGTGCCTCGTTGCGAAGAACAATGGTCATCGATCTTGCCACCGTTGAGCGACTCATGCAGCTCCATGTCAAGCCCTAATGTGGAGTAGAGACGAACGGGATGTCTGTGGTTGCGGCACTTCGCTGCATGAAAGAGAGCACTGGACAAGAAATCGGCGACCTCTTCCCACCCAGCTTTCTTGGCATGCCGCAGACTATAGGCAATGCAAGATTCAAGTTTCCTGGAGCCCGCCATTGCTGTACGAGGGGGAGGAAACCTAATTGGAAAAGTCACTCTTCTGAGTCTCGTAGCCCTTGAGCCTTGAGCCGTAGCACCCCGAAACCCCTAAACCCTAAACCCCTTACCTCTAAACTCTAAACCCCTAAACCCTAAACCCCCTTCCCATGGTGGCTTTGCCCGAAACTTTCACCTGACGCTCGAGGGCCTGAGCCCCAAATGCTAAGCCTAGAGCCATAGGCCCAAAAGCCTAAACAACAAGAACCCTAGTTCAAAGGAAACCTACAGGTGGGGAGTTTAGGGTAGATAGGGCTTCTACAAGGCTTCTATAGCATATATAAACCTTCTATAAGGTATATAGACCTTGTTATAAAGGAAGCTACAGTTGGGGAGTTTACGGTATATATAGCTTCCATAAGGCTTCTAGAAGGTATATAGACCCTTCTATAAGGCTCCTATAAGCCTATAACGGTAACTACCCACATGAAAATGCCCTAGAGACCCAAAGCCCGAACCCCGTGAACATCGCAATCGGCTGTGCCAAATTATCCACGAGGACGAAAGGGGAACTTTTTCCGGCCTAGGGTTTAGGGTTTCGGGTTTATCTAAGGTTGAAACCATGGGCCCCTAGTATGGGCCCTTAAATCTGGGATCCTTAAATACCTACTATATACCCTATATGTACCCTTAAGGGACCCTAGAACCCCCCATAACCCCACTAAGGGCCCATATTAGGGGCCCATACTTCCAACCTTGGAGTTTAGGCCAGCACACCTCGCGCACGCAGCTCAACACCGAAACCCGAAACGTACAAGCGCTTACCAAAGCCTCAACCCTAAACCCTGAACCCTTAACCCTATAAGCCCTGAGCCCTAAACCCTAAACCCTGAACCCTAAACTCTAAACCTTAGAAGCCCTGAGCCCTAAACCCTAAACCGGAACAGCTCAGCACCCAAGAAGCCTGCCTCCTTCGGCCGTAGCAGCTGCAGCTCACCGCCCTTGTAGTCAAGGAGCCTGTGGGTTACGGCGTTGAGGGTTCAGAGGGTTCAGGCGTAGGGTTTAGGGGGGATGTTGCATTCGCGTTTAGGGTTCAGGGCTTAAGGGGTGTAGGGTTGAGGGGTTAGGTTTTTTTAGGGTTCAGAGGGTTCCGGTTTAGGGTTTAGGGTTGTGGGTTTATTGGGGTTTAGGGTTCAGGGCTTAAGGGGTGTAGGGTTCAGGGGTTAGGTTTTTAGGGTTCAGGGGTTAGGTGTTAGGGCTCAAGGGTTAGGATTTTAGGTTCAGGATTCAGGGGTAAGGACTTAGGGTTCAGGAGTCAAGGCTTAGGGTTCAGGGGTTAGGGTTTAGGGTTCAGGAGTTGGGGTTGAGGGCTTTCTGGAACGATAGTGGGATTTGGAATGCCTGTCGCGGCGTCCATGCTTGACTTAGCGGGCTCCTGGCACCCATTCTGTCTTGTCTTGCAAATTGTCTTCCCCGCTCCTTCATGGCGAGTCTTTGCTGCAGGTGCTCCCTAAACCCTAAACCCCCAAGACCCTAAGCCCTAAACCCTAAACCCTAAATGGCTTGCAACGCGCCAGGACAGCTGCTAGGCTGCACTCGTGACAGCAGGGACTGGGAGGCTGCCGCAACTCGAAACCCCACACCCTGAACCCTAAACTACGGTTTAGGGTTTAGGGTTTAGGGTTTAGGGTTTAGGGTTTAGGGCTAAACCCCAAACCCTAAACCCTACACCCTAAGCCCCAAACCCTAAACCTGATGCCCTAAAACCCTAAGCCCAGGCCCCAGGTCCCGAAACCCAAACCCCTGTTGATGGTTTAGGGTTTAGGGTTTAGGGTTTAGGGTTTTGCGTCCTGCATTACGTTAAGACCCCAAACTATGGGAATCATGGTACATTTCCTATTATGGGATTATGGGTTGGGTACTGCCCCCGTACAGTAACAGTCTATAATAGGGCTACATTTAAGGGCCTGATATATCCATAATAGAAATATTATGCAACTGTTACTGAGTGGGGGCAGTACCCAAATTATGGGATAATGCAGGATTTATATGAGGGTTTCCGAAAATAGGGGACCCCTGATAGTACCCTAGATAATAGGATCCTTATTATAAGGACCCCAAAATAAGGTACCCCTTGTTTTCGGAAACTCCCATATCATCAACCGTCTTGCGAAGGCTCGTGTGGCGCCTCAGGCTTGCCTCTCTTGCTTTGATGAGTTTTTGGATTGCACAGTTTAGGGTTTAGGGTTCCGTGGTGTACGACATAATGCTTGCTGTATTGCCTCATCTAGCCACGATTTGAGGGCTCATTGATACATTAACTTCCATGAGCCTGTCTCTGATTGAGCTTGCTTCTGAAGCGTTACTACAAGTCTTGGTAGATCAGGAATGGCTTTAGGCCTGAGGGTAGGCTTTGGCAGTTGCACTACGCACTTTAGCGCTGGCTTTGATTTTCTGATCGTCTCCGTGGTGTCGGGAAAGGGGGGGGTTATCGGTTTAGGACATAGGGTTTAGGATTTAGGGTCTTCGTAGTTGTGTCGGGGTTCAGGGTTTTTCCAGTGGGCTTGTCGGACTGCTACCCTAAACCCTAAGCCCTAAACCCTAAACCCTAAGCCTTCAACCAGTAAACCCAGTCCCCTCTGCTCCAAAGTCCCAGTGCCGAGCCTGAAAGCTGCAAATCCGCCAGACCGAAGCCCGCAAAAACCGCGTTTAGGGTTTACCTTACGGTTTAGGGTTTAGGGTTTAGGGTTTAGGGTTTACCTTACGGTTTAGGGTTTAGGGTTTGGGGTTTAGGGTTTCTTAACCCACCAGAACCTACTTTTTTGTGGGGTCCCTATAAATGCCACATTAGGGCTTATAATAAGAACCTACGAAAAGTAGGTTTTGGGTTCTTAAGGTAGGGCTTGAGACCAAGCTTTAGAACTTTTGAGTTCCAAAGCTTTCAAGGTTGCAACTCTTTTGTTGCCCTCACCCCTGAATACTTCGAACAATTCTAGCCTGAACCTCCCGAATCCCTAAACCCGGCGTTGGGTGCAGGGCTTGGCACTGCGAGTTTCAAAATTTACCTCAGGACCTCAACTCTGCCAACCAGGTCTGCGCATAATTGATAACTTACTGGCTCATCGTCTGCTCTACGGAAGGTTCTCGTTTGACCCGTTTGAGTAGCTTCCTCGATGTACGCCGCAAAACTGGCAGAAAGGCTTCGTGTCTCCGAATTTCACCGCATTCGGGAACTACTCTAAGTCCAAGCCCAACAGCTTTCCGGCGCCATACTGAGAGCCGAAGGCAAAGCAGCCAAAACCAAACCCGAACATTGAAGGCACAACAAACTCCCGAAGCCCGCGTCTCCAACTGACAGAACCTGGAGCGCAATCCGAATCACCTGTACGATGCTATAAGTGGATCAGCGTTGGTCTTTGATAGCCTGCCCTTCCAAAAACGGATCGTCTGCAGGCCAGGAAAAGTCACACAAACATCTGCGCCTCGGGAATAAAAGAAGACAACACCATCCAACATGCGAATGAAACTGCAGAAACAAAGCCCTGAACTTAGAACCTTTAGGTTGTTGAGCTTATTTCGACCTATCCACAATCCTGAATCCGGAAACCTGAACAGTCCGAAAAGCACACCAAAAAAGACCGTTATCCCTTAACCCTGAGAAAACCCTTTCAAATCAATCCTGAAGTGAAGGAAACCCTTAAAGGAACCCTTACGCGGAACTCTCAAAAGGAACCCTAGAACAAACTTTTAAGCCAAACTCATAGGAGCCCTTAGAGGGACGCCCAGAAGGAACCCTGTTCCATTTCATGGCCCCTATAAACCCTAATCCAGAACCCACCCAAAAACCCCCTAAACCCAAAACCCTCAAAAGAAACCCTTTTAGGGTTTACCCTAAACCCTAAACCCTAAACCCTAAACCGTTAGGGTTTAAGTTGAAGGCCCAACCTCGGTGGCTCCAGGGGAGGCGTGGGCACCAGAGCCGGGGCGGCGGCCTGTGAGCTCCGTTGGCTGAGGGGTAAAGGCTCAACCAACATATACATATATATATATATGTATATTTATTTATTTATATATTTATTTATTTATTTATGAGGTTTGGGATTTAGGGTTTACGGTTTAGGGTTTAGGGTTTAGGGTTTCGGGTTTAGGGTTTAGGGTTTAGGGTTTAGGGTTTAGGGTTTAGGGTTTAGGGTGTGTGTGTATATAT